CCGACGGCAGCAGCACGAGCCCCAGATCCTCGACGAGCGTAGCGTTCCTTAGTCTCGGCCCCTCGCAGCCCTCCGTCACGAACGGCACCTCGACCTCGCCCGCCATCAGGTTGTTGCTGCTGAACCACAGGTAGTTGGGCACGCCGCCGGCCGGGAGGATGTGCGTCCTGGCCTCGCGGCCGCAGTCGTTCTGCAGGACGCCCACGGAAAGCACGTTCGCGAGGATGAGGTTGCCGAACTCACCGCCGGTGCCCTCGCGGAGGCGCATGAGGCCCTCGCGCTGGTCGTCGGAGCTCTCCGAAGCGGGGTTGCCGCTGCCGCCCACGAAGAGCGCGTTGTATATCTGAGGGAACGAGCGCGGCTTGGCGTCGGGGTCGCTCCCGTCGCTGTCCATCTCCGTGGCGTGGTGCCCGCCCTCGCCCACCACCACCACCGCGAACTGGATCTTGCCGCTGTAGCCCTCGTCCGTGTCGATGCCGTCGTCGCCGCAGAACAGCACCGACAGGTACTTGACGTTGACGCTGCCGCCGAAGAACTCCACGCCGTCGTCCAAGTTGTACTGCGCAACAAGTCAATGCCCGCAGAGTCACAACGCAAGCACCCCTGTTTGGTCACCGCCGCCCGCCACTTCCCTTCAAGGCACAAACCGATCTGCAGCGTCGCTGCGGATGTGCGAAAGTGCCACATGGCAGGCTGCAGCCCTGACAGGAGAAATTGCATGCATGTATGCAACAGGGAACAATACCTGCAACGAGAGCCTGACGACCGCGGGCCGCAACGCAGTCCCAGCACGGGGCTTGTTGGCAGCGTGCGCCGACCACCAATTTGCGGAAATGCAAAAGTGCCACACGGGGGGCTGCCGCCATGACAGGGAACAATATACGCAACAAGAACTTGACGACCGCGAGCAACAACAAAGCCCCAGCGCGGGACTTGTGGAAAGCGCACACAGACCAGCAATTTGGGGGCGCGCTGCGTGGTTTTCGCAATAGGGGTTGCGCTCACACTCGGGGCCGTTCGCTTTTCGGCCGCGTTCCGATCGAGCTCCGCAGCCGAAGTGACACTCACCGCGACCTCGAGGTGGTCCACGACCGTCCTGGCGCCCACGGCCCCGAACGTGACGCCGTTGATCTCATTGTCGGGCGCGATCTTGTCTCCGCCGTACCACACGCGCACGTACGTCAGCACGCCCGAGTCGTCATCCGGGTTGTTGCCGCCGTACTCGACGCCCTCCAGGCCCTCCACATTACTGACGCCCTTGGAGGTGAGACCGTTGCCCAGAATCACCACACCTCCCCACGTGCCCCGCGCGGGCAGGTGGCGCGGGTTGAGCACGGACGTGAAGGTGATGGGCCGGTCGGCCCTCCCCTCCGCCAAGATCTTCGCGCCGCGCTCGATGACGAGGCTGGGCGCCCTGCCCGAGCCGTTATCCCTGTAGGCCTTGATGACGGCTCCGGGCTGGATCGTGAGCGTAGCGCCGCTCGCGACGAAGACCTGGTCCGCCAGCAGGTGCAGGGTGTCGGAGCGCCAGGTGGCGTCGGACTGGATGACGCCCTCCTGGAACTCGCCGAAGACGTTGTCCGGGATGAGGCCGAACTCGTCTAGCAGCGACCAGCCGGAGAGCCACAGGTCTTCGCCGAACGCGCCGCGGTAGTCGACCGGCGTGAAGAAGTCGGCGGGGACGTCGTCGACGGCCCTGTACACGGGGCTGCTCCCGGTGCGCGGACGGGGATCTATGAAGAGGACCGTGTCGTTGATGGTCTCGGCCACCATCACCAGATTCGGCTCCTCCTTGGACCAGGAGCGGAGCTCCTTGCCGCGGCAGCCTATGGACGTCCGCACGGGGGCGGTGTGGGGGCCCAGCATGTTGCCGGGGCTAAAGTACAGGGTGTCTGGCCCAGAGCGGTTTTCGATGTCTTGCGTCACGGTCAGCGCATCCGTGCAGTTGGACAGCCACACCGCCTTGTCGGCCACGTTGACGGTGATGAGGTTGCCCAGATGGGCGCCGGTGCCCTCCCGAAGGCGAATCAGACCGTTTTTCTGCTGGTCCGACGTCACCATGCCGGGGTCCGTGCTCCCTCCAACGATCAGCACGTTATAGATTTGGGGGGATGAGCGGGGGGTCTCGTCCCCTACGCTGTCCATCTCAAACCCGTGGTGGCCGCTCGTTCCCGTGATCACGAACACGAATTGCAGCTTGCCCTGGTACCCTTCGTCCGTATCGATCCCATCGTCACCGCAGAACAAGACTGATATGAACTTGGCATTCACGGTGCCGCCGAAGAACTCGACGCCATCGTCCAAGTTGTACTGCACAATGCATCACAAAGATGTTTATTAGCGACCAGCGTCCGTGGCCCTGGGCCACACGGGAACGCCGCTCCTGTGTGCACACAACAAACCCCACGGTGTGAACAACAAGACACCCCTTTTGGGGTAGCAACCACAAAGCACAAGGTACAACACTCTGCAGCAAATCTGTCGTTTCCCCAAAACGCGTATTTCATATTATGTAACGTTCGCAAGTGTAACGTACAGCAGTACTGTATAGTATATTCAACCCTTGTGCATAGTGACATACCGCTTGGCCTTTTCTTGAGGAGAAAACAATAAAATAACTGAAGCTCTTTTAACAATATAAATCTTGAGGAGCAACGTGAGAATAATGAAAGTAACCTCTCAAAAACACACTGCGGAGCAAAAAGCATAATGTAACATTTTCCAATGTGGAAGAGTTTAGAACCTACGGTAGTATAATATACTTCGGTGAAGTAATTTCGACGGAGATCCCGACTAACAGGTACTTCGAACCGTGACGCCCAACAACATACTGCCCATAGGCGCTTCTTACAAGAGATGCTCTTGGCCTGCATTCATCCCTAATGCAAAATAGCCGTCAGCAATGTGCAAAACCACCCGCCAGGACAATGGCTAAGAGACAGGCAAGTCAAGCCGGTTGACCAGCATCAGGCATAATACTTGAGTATCGGCTGGACATGGGCATCTCCACTTAAAGCCACTTACAGCCCTACAAGGTGCTCTTTTGCTGGTCCCACACAAAAGTTTCAGAATTCATCTCAACTCGAAGCAAGTATCAGGTACTAATACTTGACTACCAGTTGGACATCACTCAAAACCCTAAAAAATGCTCTCTTGCTGCTCCCGCACAAAAGTTTCAGAATTCGTCTCAACTCAAAACAAGCAACAACACGAGTTCCACACCCGCAGCGCCCGCGCCTACCGCGACTTCGATGTGGTCGACCTCCGTCCCGCGGCCCACGCCAGCGAACGTGATGCCGTTGATCTCGTTGTCGGGGCTGATCTCCGAGCCGCCGAACCAGACGCGAACGAAGCGCAGCACGCCGGAGCTGTCGTCGGGGTCGTTGCCGCCGTACAGGCCCATCCCCTCCGGGAGCCCCTCGACGCTATTCTCGCCGCCGATGATGGGGGCATTCCCAAGGATGATCAGGCCACCCCACCTGCCCCGCGCGGTCGCGGGATCGAATTCCGGGTCGTTCGGGTCTTGGATGCCCGTGGCGGACGTGAAGGTGATGGGCTCCTGCTGCGTTCCGAGGGCGAAGATCTTCGCGCCGCGCTCGATGACGAGCGCCGCGGCGGGGGTGCCGGCCGTGGCCCTAACCGTCACGCCCGCCTCGATCGTGAGATTCACGCCCGTCTTCACGAACGCCTGAGCAACGTGCAGGCAGGGATGTTACAACCGGGCAACGATCGTCAAGAGAGCCCACCAACACAGCTGAAGAGCAAGCGCGCAAGGGATGCTGCATTCGGAAACGGTTCCCAAGGACGCCCTCCAATCGGCTACAGAAACCAGGGACGAGGAGGAGGTCCTCAAGATGGAGGAGGGAAGCAAGAGAAAGGAAATATTTCATGTTCGCAGAAGGGATGCGGGTACAAATTTCCGAGAAACGAAGCGAGCGGGGCACGCCAGCGGCTGTGTCCAAAGACGCAAACCACGCGATGGTTATAGAGGTCGTTGATGGGATACAATCACAAAACGCGTACTGATAGATGGACACAATAGATGGCCTGGCCGTAAAGGGACATCGCTGTTAGGGATCTGCCTATATCTCCGCTGCCTCCAGCTCGTTCCCAGACCCTCCACCGGAACCGCTTCCCTGGTTGCGAACCAGCCAGCGACCTGTCATTTAGCATCCAAGCCAAGGGAAGCGCGTGATGGGTGGCAGCGTGGTGCAGTACAACGAGCCGGAGGGTGTGAGTGACACGTGGGTCAGTCCCGTCCACGCCACGACGTTGTTTGCACGGAGTGCCAGAAGGAGGCGTTTGTGCAGATGTAGTGACTAGTGGGTCCACGCCTGACTGTGGAGGCCCAGCGACAATGCTGCAGGACTTTTGGTGGGTAAAGGTGCGTGAGTGAGGATTTTGGACGATCCATGGACTGCGATTCAAAGAAACAACATATTATAAATCAATTGAAAAAATAAATCACGTGATGCCATGGCTGGTGTTGAGTTAAGATTCTTGCGTTTGGGGCTGTGTTGGGAAACCCAAGGCTTTTCTTGAGGTTGAGGGTAGCCTGTCCACAGAGGATCGTTCGCTGATGCAATGTGATGTTCATGCTGTTGGCTTCACAAGGAGGCAAGTTTTCTGTGGTGAGTGGTGGTCTTTGACTCTTGCCTAGTTCTCTGTTTCTGTTTCTTTTTCTTTTCGTTCTATATGTTCTTCGAAGCCTAGTGGGGCTTTACGACCTAGATATGACATGCCTAGGGATCCTGCCCGCTTCAAGAGAAGATTGGATTGGTGTGTTGGTTGATGGAGCCTATCTGGCACACCAGCAGAAGACAACATGTTTGCGATGCCAAATGCCATGCCATTTGACACAAATTGATGCAATCACAGCCACTTTCATGCCATCGCGATCACTGCGACGGCGTCACTTTGTGTCAAAATGAAATCGCAGTTGCATCGCAAAGATGCCATTTTCTGCCACTGGCATTAACAAGGATTTTCCAATTTGGATGGAACATGCCCAGGTGATCCGTCCCGCCTTGCAAGCTCTTGTTCTCTTTGGTGTGAGTTGAATGATTCTGATTGTGTGTTGATGAATTGGAAGTGTCTAATCTCAATGGCTAGAGAGCTGGTGGAGCCTAGTAGGGACGAAGATTTCTCCTTGGATGTAAGATTTCTAGGGAACCCGCTTGAAGCACTTGCAATCCTAGTGCATAACTCTTATGTGATTCAGTGCATCTCCATGGTGTAAGTCGATATGAGGGTTTTGGGTTCTTGTTCAACTTCAAGAATTCAGTGTTCTGCTCTGTTTTGTATCCGACTTGAGCAAGCTATAGTGCTGTGGTGTTTGGTACTTTTGATGGATTCCATTTGCTTGAGTAGTCGCATCGCGGGCGATGTGCAGATCTTAAGGTTGAGGGTGATGATGTGACATAATCATAATACATGGACTCGATGGATGGCCTGGCCGTAAAGGGACATCGCTGTTATATCGCTGGATTGGGATCCGTATGTAACTCCGTTGCCTGAAGGCCGTCCCCAGACCGCCTACACCGGAACCGCTTCCCTAGTGGCGAACCAGCCAGCGGCCTATCAGTGTGTCACTTGATTAGCCCCGCAGCCCTCGCTATCTGCATTCGACCTCCGTGCGCCGCGCGCTCCTTCCAACCAGAAGCGCTCAGTACTTGGATTACGCCAAACTCTGGCCCCGCCATCCCAACGTGGCAATGCCACGTGCACAGGCAAACGACCGGCGCCGTCCAACAATCCCAAAGGCCACCGACATGGCGGATCTTGCCGCCAAAGCGCAGACGGCGGGTTTTGGCCGCATCCACGGCAAGGATTCACGGCACCGTCACCGTCGCCGTCAGTTCGCCCCTGTTTTACAACGAATCGCAGCCTGCGATGGTGGCGCGCCATCCAGCAGGAGGGAATCCCAGCAAGAATCCCGCTGGACAGCAAGAGTCGAGCGCACCTCGTCGGCGAGCTCCAACCCCACTTGACACTCACGCGAGCGCTCACGAGAGATCCCCGACACTGACGCGAGCGCTCCCGATGGCCTCCCATCGGCCCCAGCGTTGACCGCGGGACCGCGTTTGCATTCCCAGGTCGTGTGCGCTAACCGTCCGCACAACCCAGAACAAACAAAAACAATCCTCAGCGGCCAAGCACAATCGACCGTCCCTCGCTTCCCCACCCCCCCCCTCCTGTCAACAACAGCGCCCGCCCAAGGGCCAGGGCCCGTGGCGGCGAAAAAAGGGCGCGCGTCACTCCATTTGCGTTCGGCGAGAGGGGCGCGCCGGCGTGCATCCATCCCCAGCGGGCAGGTTCCTCCGCGAGCGCCGGGAGCGCACCTGGCAGCTGAGCACGTACTCGTTGCCCTTGCGCAGCTCGGTCGTGGTGAGCCCGCCTCCCTGGTCGCACAGTTCGACCATCTCGGCCGCGGCCAAGCCCGCGACGGACAACGTCGCCAGCAGCGCCAGCATCATCGGCCTGTGCACCATCTTGCGCACGCCGCGGCCACGCACGCGGCCGGCCCGTCCCCCACACCCGCCGCGGGCGCACCACGCGATCGATTGATGGCCGCAATCGTTCGAACCCTCCGCTCTCGCTCTTGCACGAGCCCTGCGGGTGCTTCGGGTTGGTGGGGGCCAACGGCCGGCAGAGGAGACCCGTTGGGCCCAGGGGTGGCCGTGCGCGTGTGGGGCGGGTGGGGGACAGTCGGAAGAGGAGGCCCGTTGGGCATTGGAGAGGGCTGCGTGTGTGGGGCGGGGATGCGGGTCCCCGCGCATCCGCGGGAATATTCGCCTGGCGGCCCCGGAAAAAAGGGTGGAACTGTGTGCAATCGGGAGAGGGGGGCCGGTCGCCCGTATGTCACGCATCGTATCCAGCCCTGCGCCCCTGAGGCGTTCCAGATCACTCGCGCCCCGCCCCTGCGCCCAAGCCGTGGGCTGCCGTGGACCCTGTGCCGCCCCGCGACCCCGCGGGCAGTGCCAACCCAAAAGCAAAAGCAGCGAGGGCTGGCACCCGAACATCGGGAGATCCCGCCCTTCCCTGGCCCATGCCGCCGCCAGGGAGCCGAACCATGCACCAAGGTAGGCAGCCGTGGCGTCGCCACCTGACCTGCGACCTTTCCAAGCGTGCGCCACGCGGCGCTGGCTGTGGATTGCCGTCGACGGCATCGGAGTACGAATTCTGCGTCTGCCGCCCGACTTCGTCACAGAGTCGCTCACGCATCTACCCGTCCCCCCACAACACCACTGCAACGCCAAACGACTTGCAAAGTCGCCTCCAGCCATGGTGCACGCTGTGTTGACCCGCCACGGCTGGCAATCTGGTAGTCCTGCCTAATGCCCGGCTGGCCCAGCCCCCCATATTCATCGTTGTTGATCTCCCCCCTCTAGCTGAAATATCTGCGGGAGCTCCGCCAACCTGCAGGCATGACGATCCCCACCAAAGCATGGAATCTCAACTCACGAAAACTGGGCTGGCGCAGTTTCAAGAGCGCTCTAATGAGGCTCTTCATATGTGAAGGCCTTTGCGCACTATGATGGCTCGTTGAGGGCGCAAGCGGCTCTGGTGCATGGACGGACAAACAAATGTTTTGGGCTCTCTCCGCACTTTGCGCCGAAAATCTCTCCAGCTTTCCTTGCGTGGCGCCTCAAGGGCCTCGACAAGCCGTGTTCTTCCTCGCTGCCTAATTGCAGGCAGATCGCTGGATGGGAATTCGTGTGCAGTGCTGATTCTCGCCCTAAGACATGGCGGGGGGGGATCGACGCCTCTCCCTCACAAGCATCGCCGCGGCCGCCGATGCCGATGGCCTGGGCTGTGTTGCTTCCCAACGGCGTTCGCCAGGGGCGCGCGGGATCTCCTGACCTCCTGGCGCCAGGCCTTGCCGCCTTCGCTGTTGGTCTGGCACTGCACAGGGACCTGGACGCTGCCCGCAACTGCAGGCGCACGGCTGGCGGCAACCGCAGTTTTGAATGCTGCACAGAGGCAGCGGGCGGTTACGACGCATGATGCATTGTACACGTGACCGCCTTCGCGGAATGCAGATAGTTGGCCCCGGGAAATAGAACCCGGCAGTTGCATGAGGCCGCCTGACGCACCGGCGTGTGCGCTGTGTGTACGGCGAGCCGGCGGGGGATGCCGGGGGGTAGGTGCAGTGAACGTTCGCTGGGAACGGGGACGCTCGAGTTACTGCATAATGACCAGTCATTATGTTGCTCACTAATGCTAAGCAGGTACTCGATAGGAAACGGAGAGAACGCAGTGGCAAATGGTAAACAAAGGAATCAGAAAAGATGTGAAATGGCAGCCGCCATTGCACGTTCAACTGCTCAGACGGTCTGCCGGCCGTTGACGCATCTGCTAGACTTCTGAGGGATCCAGTCCACCATTAACAAGATGACCAGGATCATGACAAGAAGATACCCTCTTCTAGGACTGAGGCCCGTCAGTTATTTGAAACGGCTGGACGGCTGTGGCTGGATGTGCAGTTGCCGAGTCGAGCACAGTGCAACGATGGCTTTGCACCTTGAGATCAGGTGGGCTAATCCTGAAAGGCTTCTCCGCCGCTGGTTATGGCTCGCCCTGATCAACGTGGAGTCCTATTTAACTAGAACCAACAACGACCAACAGGAGGAGGTTAACTAGGACTAACAACGTTGTTGGTCCGCTACAAACCATAAGTTGACCATGGGCTCGTTGGCGTCCATCTCAGAATACTGGTCAGCGCAGAGGCAGTCGCTAGCGCAGTGGACTCCAGGGATGACACACACCGACTGGCTTCGAAACGAGACAAGATGCATAACGAAACACCTTGAGGCGCTGCGAGACAAGGCGGTTTAAATGGTTGTGAGCAGCCAAGTCCGAGGTTCTGGCTGCAGAGCCGGGGAAGGTGATGACTTCGTTCTTTTGCCGTTGAATGGACGGCCAGGTAAACCGCGGCCTTGTATGGGAGCGCTGGCAGTCGTACAACTACACTAGGAAAAAACAGGTCAGATGACACAGTCCTGACACGGTCTGCTCAAAATCCAACCGTGTACTTTCGGCAAATGTGGTACCAAAAGTACACAGTTAGTACACACATTGACACAGTTTCAACCGTGTACCCTCAAACAACTGTGTAGACTACACGGTTTCCTAGGATGCACGGTTAAAACAGTGTTAATGTGTGTACTAACTGTGTACTTTCGGGACCACATTTGCCGAAAGTACACAGTTGGGTTTGAGCAGACCGTGTCAGGACTGTGCCATGTGACCTGTTTTTTACTAGTGCTACTCAGAGGTTGGGCCGTGGGAGCTAACATCGACGTTGAGGACATTCAACCAGTCGGAGTTGACAATCGTCTATGGTCAAAGACCATGGACCTTCGTATCGTTGTGCCACGAGCCACAGGGAACCGTGGACGGCTGAAGGCAGAGGGATAACGCCCTGGCAGTGGCTCCTTGTTGAGCACTTGAGGCCTCCCGTTGGCCAGCAAGCCTGAAGGGAAGTAAGCCTTGGTTCCGTATTGCCTTCTACAAAGAGGCGACAACGTAGTGAGGAAGGCGATGATGATGCGACTACGAAATGCCTTCGTGGCACGCCTTGGCTGCGCAAAGATACGATTGGACCAGGATTGTGTTCGACAGGTCGACATTGGGTCTCTCTCGGTTAAGCTGCGATGTAGTTGCAAGACCATGGGAGAAGGGCGAAATTGATTACACGTGGGAGGCCTCGTGCGAATGAACAATCGTGAATACTCTTGGAACGATAGTTGTTTGGAAGGTTCTTAGGTGTGGGAACTCGCCAAGTGTAATGGTGAACACCCCAAGGATTTGTTGACCTGATCCAAGGCCGTTTGGACTATTTACAGGCTGCGCCCCACTCTCTTGGGGATGCTTACTGAGATTGTAGCCCCCTCCATTTCGATCGACTCTCTCCCATGCCTCACGCACTCTGATCGCAGCTGCCCTGTTGCTTCGACATCACTCGCAAGAGATCCCTGAGCCCGACGCGGGTTGGATCATATTCTGGCGAAAGAAGAGCACTTGATACGGAACGTGCGTACGTTGTGGACACCAACGAAGTCGCTGACTGGAATCAGAGTCCCGAATTCAAATCGGAGGTTGGCTGGCATCAGCGACTACACATCGCAGTCCTGGACACTGCCTCGTCGCTGTCAATCGCCCTATTTGTCGACTTGCGATGGGAGTATACTTTGTGTTTCGGCGATTCGAGATGGGAATCCCATTCTCTTGCGCTCGTTTCGAAGGCTGATCGCCCACCATGGCGGAGTCAGTCGGGCAGGATTCAGTATCTCCAAGGTAAAAACGTCATATTTGTGATGCCAGCTGCGATGCCGCTTTGACACTAAGTGGTGCTGTCACAGTGATTTCGATGGCATAAAAGGGGCTGCGATGGCATCAATTTGTGACAAATGGCGTCGCAGTTGGCATCCCAAACAGGCTGTTTTGCACTGCTGCAGGATGGCGACATGACACTGATATGACATCGCTGGGAATGGAGATTCAGCATCTGCAAAGATGCCGTGAATCACCAGGATGGTGACATGATGCCAATGTGATATAGTAGCGACACACAGACTGACTGGATGGTCTGACCGTCAAGGGCCATCGCTGCTCGGGATCTGTTGGTGACTTCGTCGCCTCCAGCTCTTTCCCAGGCTGCATCCAGACTGCCTCCACCAGAAACACTTCCCTAAGAGCGACCTATCAGGGCAACGGTGGTGACCACCATACATACACTTCGCTCAGACGGGGGGGATTTGCTTTGGATTCCTCGTTGCCCATGTTGCCACAGGGCTGTCGTTTGTTGGCCGGAGCATGGACAGCTTGGGGGAGGCCTTAGGTGGAGTCGATGGATACGTCGCGTGCCTGCCAGGCTCGCGCGGGCCGCCTGCCTTCCTGGACCCCAGGCCTGTGTGCGCTGCCTTGTGGAGGCGATGGTGCCTCCCGCAGAAGAAAATGCCAAGTTGCCCACTTGATCGCTGGCGTCGTCATTGTCATCATCATTTTTTGACATAGCAAGGCAATGAGGTAGCCGTCAGCTTCCTACTTTGCCCTTGATCGGCATCACGAGCGGCATGGGTCCAGCTCGGGCCAGTATCACACGAATCTCGTTCTCAGCGAAGGGGGTACGCGGCGGGCCGGCAGGTCGCCGAGCTGTTGTGTCGTTCGTAAGAATGTGTTTGCTCCTGCGTGCAACAGAACGCTGGGGGGAGTCCTTGTTCATGTATTATGAAGTCCGTCTCTGGTATGTGCAGGAAAATTTCGCGTGATTCTGTTGCTCTGCTGTCGATTACGCACCAAGACTGAAAGTGAGTGCTGCAAGATGCAACTCTTCAAGGTTCGCTTCAGACCTGCGGTAGTGGTCTCGTGTCCCTGCGTGGGCTCCCATTCTAGGGTTCGGTTACTGAATCACAGAACTCTGGGGCTCACCTGTTAGGGCTTGGGAGGGGAAGCAGCAGGTTAAGTTGGAATGGGACCTGTGCACGTTGTTGCGAATCTGATCTCTATGTTTCAATCCAAACATTCGACCACATTCGATACGAAGGAAGCGCATTGCTCACGGGCAAGCAAGCCTCCGTCGCTGACGTTACCGCGTCCAGTTGCAATTCAGAGTCGGCTCTGTGACGACACTCGAGGGGACGCTCGCGTCAAACAGGATGCACAGACGACCAGCTCGTCGCTTTCGAGAATCAATTATCAAAATCGTGTCCGCAGTGACAAACAAAACTGCCAGCATGCCCACATGCGTATGCGGGCATAAAGTACACGCAACATACATACATATATACATACAATTATATGCATGCACAAATGATGAGATTGTCAATGAAGAAACAAATTGGCGACTGTCCCCAGCGAGGGCGGCATCCCACAACGTCGCCCCTGACCGCCGCCGCCGTGCTAAGAGACACACCGACCTCCCCCCCGCGCCCCCACCAAACCACCACAGCGGCGCCGGACCCTCGCGATCCCCCCCTTCCCGAGGCGAGCGTCACTCCATACCTACGCTTGCTCTACGCTTGGCACGGGCCACCGCACTCCTTGTGCGCTGCCGCGAAAGGTCATCATCATCATCATCATCATCATCATCATCATCATCATCATCATCATCATCATCATCATTTTGCTGTGCAACGCCACGGCCATGGCCCCAATCTTGGGGGGCGGATGCCTTAGACGGCCAAGTTCCCGTTCTCCGCCAGCCACGACCAGTCCGCAATCCACAGGTCGTCGGCGTCCGCGGAGAAGGCGCCCCTGAAGCCGACCTGCTCGAAGAATCCGTCGTCGGGGAAGGGGTCCACCGAGGAGGCGGTCAGCAGCGGGGAGTCCGGCGTGGGGCGCGGGTCGTACATCTCCGTGGACTCGGCGTCCGTGGGGATGAGCTGCAGCTCGGCGGGGGTGTCATCAACCTCCGTGAATCCGTCGCAGCCATCCTCGAGGTCGAACTGCACGCCGGATCCGACGGTGTTGATGACGTTGTTGGAGGAGAACCAGAGGTAGTTGGGCGCGCCGGCGGCCTCCGCCTCCGACTGGTCGTGGGTGCGGACCTCATTGCCGCAGTCCGTCTGGAGGACGCCAGCCCTGGGGATGTTGACCATCACGACGTTCGCAAACTCCCCACCGGTGTTCTCGCGGAGGCGCATCATGGCCTCTAGGCGGTCGTCGGATGATACGGGCTTGGGGTTGGCGGAGACGGAGCCGACAAAGAGGGCGTTGTACATCTGGGGGAAGGAGCGCGGCTGCTCGTTGCCGACCTGGGAGTCCATCTCCGTGCCGTGGTGGCCGGTGAGATCGACGACGACGAAGACGAACTGCAGCTTGCCGTTGTAGCCCAGGTCAGTGTCCACGGCGTCGTCGCCGACGAACAGGACGGACACGTACTTGGCGTTCACGGAGCCGCCAAAGAACTCCACACCGTCGTCCAGGTTGAACTGGGCCGCCACACACAAAATAAACCATCAACAGGCCGGCCCGTCCCAGGGAGAGCGATCCAGCTGCCTGCTTTCCCCACATACGAGTGCCAAGGGCAAAGACACCGTGGCGCTCATAACGGGCGGGCCCCCCAAGGCAAGCGCCCGAATGCACGAAGGCCGCTCCGCCAAGCAACGCACACGTAAGAACGCAGCCCACACGAACACAACGCGCAGAGGTCCTTCGAAACGCATTCAGACGCTGATTGCCCCCCGGTCCTCGCGAACACGGCGACGACGAAAGCGGCAGGAACAGGACATACCGCGACTTCGATGTGGTCCACGGCGGTGCCGCTGCCCACACCGGCGAAGGTGATGCCGTTGATCTCGTTGTTCTCGCCGATGACGGAGCCGCCATACCAGACTCGCACATGGGAGAGTGTGCCGGAATTGTCAGCCGGGTCATCTCCACCGTACTTCACGCCGCGGATGCCCTCGACCTCGGCCTCGCCACCGGAGACGGGCGCATTACCCAGAACGATGAGGCCCCCCCACATGCCGCGTGCGGGCAGAGCGTCGGGATGAGCCGCAGAGGTGAAGGTGACGGGGTCCGCGGCCGTACCCTTGGCCTCGACCTTGGCACCCCTCTCCACAATCAGCGCCGGCGCCTTGCCGGTGCCATCATCACCGTACGCCCAGACGGTGGCGCCGGCCTCAATCTTCAGGGTTGCGCCCGACTTGACGAAGACCTGGCCGGTCATGAGGATGGTGTCGTTTGCGGGCCAGGTGGTGTCCTCGGTGATGTCCCCCGACACGGTGGGGCCCCAGATGTCGTTGGGGATCTTGCCGGCGTCGCTCAGCCACGACCATCCCGCCAGCCACATCTCCTGCCCGAAGGCGCCTTTGTACGGCACGGACTCGAAGAAGTCGTCGGACGGGACGTCATCAAGGTCCTCGAAGGCGACGCTGTTGGGCAAGGGGCGCGGGTCCACGAAGGGCGAATCCTCGTTGAGGCCAGTGGGCAGGAGCACCAGGCCAAGATCGTCGGCCTCGACCGTGTCGAACAGGCCGTCGCAGCTGTCGTCGAGCTCGAAGTTCTCGATGGCGCCGCTCATGACGTTCTTGGCGCTGAACCACAGGTAGTCGGGTGCGCCGCCGGACGGGAGGGCGTGCGTCCTGTCCTCGCTGCCGCACTCGTTCTGCAGAACGCCGACGCGGGGGATGTTGGCCAGGATGATGTTCCCAAACTCCCCGCCGGTGCCCTCGCGGAGGCGCATCAGGCCCAGGTCCTGGTCGTCGGAGCTGGGGGAGCCCGGGACGCCGCTGCCGCCGACGAAGAGGGCGTTGTAAACCTGGGGGAAGGAGCGCGGCTGCGAGTTGACGTCGCCGTTGGTCTTGGAGTCCATCTCCGTGGCGTGGTGGCCCTTCTCGCCAACCAACACCACCGCGAACTGGATCTTGCCGCTGTAGCCCTCGTCCGTGTCGATGCCGTCGTCGCCGCAGAAGAGCACCGACAAGTACTTGACGTTGACGGTGCCGCCGAAGAACTCCACGCCGTCGTCCAGGTTGAACTGGGCGCAGGACACGAACATAAAATCAGAAGCCACAGAATTCTGGTAGAAAACAACATGTCTGCGATGCGCACTGCGATGCTATTTTGTAACAAAATGATGCCGTCACAGTGATTGCGATGGGATAAAGTGGCTGCGATGGCATCAATTCGTGTCAAATGGCGTCGCAATTAGCATTGCAAACAGGCTGTTCTGTACTGGCTTTCGAAAGCACTGTGAGCAGATGGGAACGCACATGCTCCACACATGCTGAAACATGCGCTGCAAAGTCCCCGATGCTGACAACGCTCAGTTGCCGCAATCAATCAGCAGGGCACTGAGTCCACCAGCACGTGGCACAGCAAAGAAGTGTTGGACGAGCCAATGACAAGCCAGCAACCCCAGTTCCCCATTCACGCACATATTGTGCAATAAGACCACCCTAGTAAGAGAGCCAGAGAGAAGCCACCACCAGCCCAACTGGGTGCCGCGCCAGGCAACCCCGAACACACCGTGGTGGAACAGCACAAGGCCGTCCAACCGCCAAGAAGTACTGTATAAGTAAAAAAGTTCGCGCGGGAAAAAAGTTCGCGCATTTCGCGCTCGAGCAACTGCGCGAACTTTTTTCCGCGCGAACATTTTGCCCCCGCTAACTTTTTTCGCCCGTGGACTTTTCGGCCTCCTCCCAAATGGGTCGGGCGCTTCCCGCGCTGTGGCCCGTTGGCCTTGCACAACGGCGACTGCCCCGTGCGGCGGTCTTTTGACGAGCAGCGACTGCCCCGAAGGAGTCCTGAGCTGGCCAACAGATCGCTCGCGCCGGTGGCCATCGGCCAGCCGAATCTTGGCAGCAAGGATGTGCCATCTCCCTGACCAGGCGGCTCTATGCTCCTCCCAGTTTCTAGTCATGCAAAAGCCTAGCTCGAGCCCCGTCCAGCGACTGCCCCAAAGGAGCCCTGAGTTGGCCTGCAGATCGCTCGCGCCAGATCGATCGCTGGTGGGCATTGGCAAGCCGAATCTTGGCGGCGAGGAGGTGCCATCTCCCTGACCAAGCCGCTCGTGCTATTCGTCTGCGGCACCCGGAGGGTCAGGACGGCGGCAGGGGGGCGGCGCAGCACAATAAGAAACGGCGCCACCCCTGGCGAAAGTCAAGGGCGGCAGGAGCCCGATTCCGCAATGTTCGCGCGGCGAAAATTTTCGCGGGCGAAGAAAGTTCGCGGGGGAAAAAAGATCGCGCACCGACGACTGCGCGAACTTTTTTCCGCGCGAACTATTTTCCGCGCGAAACACGCGAAATTTTTTCCACGCGAACTTTTTTACTTATACAGTACTCACCGCAACCTCGATGTGGTCCACAGTGGTGCCGCTGCCCACACCGGCGAAGGTGATACCGTTGATTTCATTGTCGGCAGCGATCGCCTCTCCGCCGTACCACACGCGCACGTACTGCAGGATACCCGAGTTGTCGGTGGGGTCACTGCCACCATAGGGCACGCCCTCCAGCCCCTCCACCTCGTTGGATCCGCCCTCCGTTGAGATTGGGGCATTACCGTTGACGATGAGACCACCCCAGGTGCCCCTCCTGGGCAGGTGCCTGGCGTTGAGAGCGGAGGTGAACGTGATGGGGGCATCGGCGTTGCCCTCGGCCATGATCTGGCCGCCGCGCTCCACGACGAGCGCGGGGGCCTTGCCTGCGCCGTTGTCGCTGTACGCAAAGATGGTGGTGCCGGCCTGGATGGTCAGCGTAGCGCCGTCCTTGACGAACACCTGGTCCGTGAGCAGGTACACAGTGTCGGCGCTCCAGGTGGTGTCGGCCTCGACGTCCCCGTCCAAGATCTTGCCGGGGATGTTGTCGGGGATCCTGGCGAAGTCGTCCAGGAAGGACCAGCCCGAAATCCAGAGGTCCTCGTCGAAGGCACCGCGGAAGTCGACGGGGGTCCAGAACTCGTCGTCGGGGAGCTCATCCACGCTGTTGAACACGGCGCTGCCGCGCGACACGGGCCGCGGGTCGATGAACGCCACGTTCTCGTCGATCACGCTCCCCACCATCGTCAATCCAGGTGCAGCCTCAGAGCGCGACTCCAGGCCCTCGCAGCCGTCGTCAAGGTTGAAGGGCTCGTCCACAGCGGCGATGATGTTGTTGGCGGAGAACCACAGGGTGTTGGGGCCGACGTCGTCGCCGTCCTGGCTGATCAACACCTCCGCGCAGTCGTTCATGCGGACGCCGTGCTCGCCGACGTTCACCATCACGATGTTTCCGAACGAGCCGGCGGTGCCCTCGCGGAAGCGCATGAGGCCGGAGAGCTGGTCGTCGGAGGAGGGGGCGTCCACTTCGGAGGAGCCGCCCACGATGAGGACGTTGTAGACCTGGGGGAAGGAGCGCGGGGTGACGGCGTCGCCGCCGTCGAGGATGCTGTCCATCTCGAAGGCATGGTGTCCGCCGCGGCCCAGCACGATGAACACGAACTGGATCTTGCCGGAATAGCCCTCGTCCGTGTCTATGGCGTCGTCGCCGCAGAACAGGACGGAGAGGTACTTGGCGTTCACAGTGCCGCCGAAGAACTCTATGCCGTCATCCAAGTTGTACTGCGCAATACAGGTCACTGACGTCAGACAGTCCCTTCTCTCTACACGGGAGAGCATGGAGCAACGGCATTTGCGGTCCATCTATCTGGCGCATTGCAGTGAGGGCCTTACCACACTTCATGTGGGAATCGCGCTTACTCCTCGCCACAAGCAATGATGGCACATTGCCCAGTCAATGCGTTGCGGCGACGCACAACAGCGAGGCACAAGGAGAGCCAATGCCCATCCAACCGGTCCGCCTAAATCCAGCGCCACAAGCACACGCCGCCTGAGCAGCGCTCGAGCGCCTAGAAACTGATGCATGCGGCGAGGTACGCCAACATGGTCAATAGGTCCGTCCCGCACCAAGAATATCCCTCTATGGGGACCACGCGCGGCCGGCCAGGTGGCAGTACCCGCTTGGCCGATGGTCACAGGGGCCCACCGGGATACGGGCGAGCTGAGTGTATTGGCTTAGTCACAAGATCGCGGTCATCCACATGAACAACAGGAAGATGCGGGCCGCGAGCTCCTTGATCCGCATGCTCTACTCACTAGTACTTCGCTCAGCCATAAGAACGCGGTCCCCCAGGGCCCCACTGCTTCCAAGAAAATGACAAAGCAAGCAGCATACACACGTACACACACACCACCAGCAGCCACTGGGACATGGAGAACAATCGAGATCGCAACGCTCAGCCCATTGACCCAACAAACCCATCGCGGGCCCAACAAACCACAAACAGCAAAATGCGATCCTTCTACTTTCTCTTTCGAAGCACTACCTCTGTCACATAAGTAGTGGCCCGTTTCAATTCGCACAAACGGAGGTCAAACGTGCGAGTCAGAAACTTGACTACGAGACTGAAGCAACTTGGGAGTGTGGCATATCGAGAGTTATTTTTGGAGCCCTCAAACGTTCCAAATGGTGCTGCCGTTCTTGCGATATGGCAAAAAGGGCTCAAACGCGACTTTGCAGTTTTTCACGGCAATGGGTGGGGTACAACATGCTTGCCTTGCCCTATAAGAGGTGGATCGATCTGAGCCATTAACAGGAGAGACGTACGGTTTGATGTTTTGGCGTGCAGTTAAGATTCGGCTTGTTCCCAAACAGAATTTGCAAGGGTAAGGATTGGAGTCCGCAACAAAATTTAGCTTGTTAACAACAGCCCTGCATGCAAATGATGGTCAAAGGCCAAGATACACCTTGATCTGTGCAAGATCATCTATCTTGCAGATTAGCCAACGTTTGGAAAGCCGTGCATACCTACATCAAGCAAGAAAACGCCAAGAATTTTGGCAGCACTGCGAGATGATGGGAAAGATGATCCCCCAGAAATATGACAGTGGTGTTGTCAACGTGTTAAAATGGTGTAGTAATACCTATTCGTTGTCTACAACAAGGTGCTCAATGAATTTTGGCAAATTGGGCTGGGATGTACATGAATATGGCCAATACAGTAATGTGGGGAATCGAGGGCCTCCATGGAAGTGAACAATGGCATTTTCAAAAAGCTTGTAAGTGTCATGTTGTATGGTGATGACTAATACAGGAAAGATCCACATCATCCTAAAATACGCCAATGAATCCAAATGTGGTAGCAGGGCTGATCTTGCCAAACTTTGCCAAGAACTCGAGATCGGACACGACTTTTGAGACGGAGATAGTGGCAAAAGTTTGTCTCTCGTTATGCGCAGAACGCACAAGTACGAGCAAACAGTGGGGGCGGGGTTGGAGGTGCGGGTGGCTTACCGCGACTTCTATGTTCTCGACGGTGGTGCCAGCTCCAACACCCGCGAAGGTGATGCCGTTGATCTCGTTGTTCTCACCGATGACGGAGCCGCCGTACCAGACGCGCACGTACTTGAGCACACCCGAGTTGTCGTCGGGGTCGTCACCACCATACAGACCCTTGCCTTGCGGCAGGCCCTCCACGGAGTTCTCATCGCCCTCAGCGAGCGTTAGGGGGGCGGACCCAAGGATGATGAGACCACCCCACTTGCCCCACGCCTTCTCCGCGGAGAAGTCCTCGGCGTCAGGGTCCAGAGAGCTGTCGGCAGTGGTGAAGGTGATGGGGTCGTCGGCCGTACCCTCCGCCATGATCTTTGCGCCCCGTTCGATGACGAGCGCGGGCGCGTCGAAGCCCTCAGCCACCTCCACGGCCTTGATGGTGGTGCCGCCCTCGATGGTCAGCGTCGCACCGGACTTCACGAACGTCTGCCCGCAGCCACCATAACGGCGGTCTGAATCCCCCCCGCGACACAGTGAACATGCACCACGATATAACCGGAAGAGATGAAGCGATGTCGTACTGCCCCCTCCAGCCATCCAGTGGGCGCCGTGGCTTCAGCGCGCAAGGGCCCCCGCGACAACAGCCTTGCCAGATTCCCAACAAAGCAGACACAATTTGCACAACGGCAGACAAGCTGCGTTCGCGACGAGATCGAGGCGCACCGCCACCCAAGGGCCATCAAAGGGCAAAAGCCTCCCACGGCTCCCCAACAACCCACAACACCCGCAAACGAAAACGCAACTGCCTTCGCAAAGCCGTCGTCTCTTCTTTCTCGCTCCTCAACCACATCCCAACGGCTCCAACGACGGGGATCACAACTCCAAGGTGAACTGCCTCGCAAACAAACGAATGCGCGATGGGAGCATGGCGGAACAGATGGCGCCCACGGAGAGTTTCTGTGGATGTAGTGCCCTCCCAACCATACGGAAGGCATCCCAACGCCAAAGTCACGCGACACGCCCGAATTGGGTCCCAGTCTGCCACAACCCGGCCCAGCCGCCATCCCATCCCCCCCGTGTTCCTCCCTCGCGCCCACGTGCACCCATCCCACGTGGTACATCCACTGTCCGTACATCCCATTGTCCCTGCCGGTTGCCTGTCGCCACGTCCACACACTAATCACGTCGCCCGGCCCCCGCACACCCCCACGCCCCCGACCCCACCACCTTACCTGGCACGTGAGCTCGACATCATCGACCGCAAACAGAGTCATGTCGACCTCGATGTCACCGCACAGATCCACGGACGCCGCGTTCGCAGCGCCCACTAGCAGCGCCACGGCGGCGAGCGCTGCGAGCACGGCGCAGCGCGCCATCCCGAACCGCAGCCCTGCACACACGCGACGCGGTCCCCGCGGCTCTCCCTTGCGTACTGGACGCCCCGGCCGGCCTGCTTGCCCGCTGGACAGCGCCCCTCTTTTGCCCTCCCAAGAGGCCACCCGCCACCGGGTCGCATCGGGTAGAATATTCGCGCAACCACTCCGTGGCGGGGAAAGTTGGCGGGCCCGCGGCGGTGCGCGGAACCCACAGACCCGGGCCCCAGCCGGGCGCACAATTCCTGCCTGGTCACATCACGTAATGCCTACGCGACGCTGGCACGTGATCACGTGCGGGGCCTTTGCACATGGTAGGCAGTGGGCGCGAAAGGGTGCTGACCTGATACGGTCGACACGGTTTGAAACATGTACGCACAACAGCATCGTGACATCCCGTACACGTGATCCCACACACGTGATCCCATACCGGTCAGTATTGCGTGGCATAGTGTGTAGTATTGACAGGGAGTTTCCCTCAACAATTGGCTATCTTTTTGTGCTTTCTGAACTGGACGATTGTAAACAGAGGCGTGGTGCTTGCAAAAAAGAGTGTGAACGGATATATGTTGATGCTTGTTCTCTTCGGTGTCCACAGCGGTCGCAAATGAACAAGGTTGGTGAGGGCGGTGCTGCCAGTGTTCTTTGCACGATTTTAGCTGCGTACTTTGCTGGTAGGATTTCATGTCGCCACACACGTGCAATAGCATTGCACCATTTTTCCTCTTAATGCAACTAATGTTCCTTTAGTCGCAATAGATTCATCTCCACCTGGCCAAAGCACACAACATGCAATGGATGTACACACAACCTCCGATCAAGCCGTCGGGAATATGGAAAGCACACCAATATGGCGGTTGCACATTGGTGCGTCAATGGATCGGGACTTGCTCACCGAATGTGATTTATGTTTGTCATGCAACATATGACTTCATGTTAGCCCACAACAAAGTAATGCATACCACAGCTTCTTTTATAATTCTGTGTCCATTCTGGATTGTCTCAGCCTTTCACCCTATGGTGGTGGTGGTGGTGATTATATTTGACTCAAATAGTTTGACTGATTGTGATGTTGGTGTGTGACTGTATGAGGGAGTGAGTGGGTGAGTGGCTGAATGTGTGAGCGGGTGACATGGTGGATAGAATTAAGGTGAATCATCCAACGAGTTCTCCTACCTCACTCTCAAGCCCTTTCAAGTAAAATATGAGGCACACCATTAGTACATGTACGAATCTCGACCTGGGTGTCGCCACTTCCAGGTTGCGGATCGGACCAACCTTAAGCAACCCAAGGCGTGGTGAAGGTTGCAAAGTCGTTGCTTTGTCCTGCGCCCTTTTTACACGCTGTTGCAATTTGCATTGCTAACTTTTCACCTCGCGGTTCTATGACATTATTGTTTAAGAAGTTATTGGCAAATTGTCCACAAGAGATCGTTACGTTTGGCAGGCCAAACCACGTATGTGCGCCACTTTGGAAACTAGACTACTATAAATGTGTGCGATTGATGTCAAGCTTTCCAACAACATAGGAATCATGTTCATCTTTCAAAAGACCCCCAGGAATGAATGTATTTCGTCACAGTTTAGAGATCTTGGGACAGCTGCAAGCCGATGACCAAGGTCGCATTGTGGCCCTCGCAAGGCGGGGCTGGAGGGCAAATTTATAGAACTGAAATCAAACTTGGCTATTTAACTTAAAATGATTGGATTTGAAGACGCAGAATTGAAGTAATTTTCCCAGTCCTCGCTCTTTCAGAAAAGGCTATACCGGGTCCTCTATGAAGATTCACCGAACCCCTCCAATCCCTTGTCGCGATTGAGTGTTAGCTCAATTGGCATCTAGCAAAGTTTCACATTTCAACGAAATTGGTGGGTGCCGTTGTCTATAATGGAATGCCCTCCGTTTTTTTGGGAGGCCGCATTCGCACCATGAACTCATTGCTGCTTTCTGATAAACTTGGCAGGAGCGCCATGCCACCCATGAGTTTATCCACCACTACGAGAAAATTGCCGATAACGGCAATGGCGAAATAGTGCGAGAGTGCAGCTCGGGCGACGAAGTCGAGCATTCTCACATTGCCACTGAGTTATCCAGAAATGGGATCCAAACGTAGGGCCCATATCCGTGGGCAGCACGGTGCAAAAGCGCGGTGGTGCCAACCCCGGCTAGACCTAACGTGAAAGCGGCAGCCGTAAAATTGTCCAGTCAGAAAGCCATGCGGACAAAAATGATAGTCAAGGCGCATTACGTGAACCGCTGATGATTGTCCAAGGCGAGCCTGTTTGGAGACATGAAAAACGGATTGAATGACCACATTGGTCGGCGGACGCCAGTTACAAGGAATTTCAGGACATGGAATTTCGAATTTGTAGTTCCCTAAATTTTCTAGCCATGCGGATTTGAGATGCTGCTGTTGCACTTGACTGCGCATGGCAATCGTCCAAAGCTTGACATGGACAATCACTGCCAGGCAGACTCAGGAGATTTCCAAAGGTTTTGCAGCGACTTGTTTGCAGAAAAGAGGTGCCCATAAAAAGTCGAACATTCTGTATGTACCAAAACACGCCTGCTTTCCGCCCGCCAAAATCTACACCCAGAATCAGAGTGAGCTCACAATTCACTTGCAAGCCTCATGTTCGCCATGCCATAGCACCAACTTCATCATTGGTTAGATTCAACTATCTCAAATCAAATCGTTCAAAGTTCCCAGTATTGAACACCAATTTGAAACCCAAAGCTAAATCATGTCAATTAGGAATTCGTCCAACCTCTCTTCAAGTGATTAGAAAGTCACACAAACAAATTACAAGGCACTTCACGTAGTGCACTCAGTGGTGTAGTATCGGCAACCCGAACAACTTGCATTTGGCTCCAACGTTGAAAATGGCTTTCAACTGGGGCCACAAACATTTGCCAGTGGATAACGACGTGAATGTAGATCAACGTTAAGTATGACGCGACGTCTCGTCCGCGTCCGTGTTTTTGACGCCCCCGGTCTGGCAATTGGCGGGGTGTCTACCGGGCGAAATAATATTACTGCCTGCACCAAATCGGTGACTGCTTGCACCAAGTCACGTGCACACTTTGTCCTAACCTCAGTTTTAGGGTTAGGTTTAGTTCAGGGTGAGTTTTAGGGTTAGGGTTAGGGTTAGGACAGGTTTAGGTTTAGGGTTTAGATTTTAGGTTAGGTTAGTTTTGACGGAGTTGGACATGATGTGCACGTGACTTGGTGCAAGCAGTCACCGTTTTCGTGCAAGCAGTCACCGATTTGATGCAGGGAGTAATTTTATGGCGGGGTGTCCACCGGGCAGAGAGCGCACACGTTGCCCACATTGCGGGGGCCGCTGCGCAGCGCCGGGGACCACCTTCAGGCGGTCGACGGAGCTTTTAGTCGACACGCGCGGCGGAAGCGCGCCTTGGGCAGCGCGGCCGGCCCGGCAGGTGAGCGCAGCCCGTCGCGCCTTACCAGCGTTGAACTGTGGATCTTGGGGTGGCGGTGCCCGAAGTCAAGTTTGGCTTGAGGTCAAGGTTGTGGGGCGGGGCGGTACGATTTGCGACAAAGAGAGAAAGAACAAGGTCATACGAAGGGCATTCCCCCCTAACCAAGTGCGGGCGAGGCTCTCTTCCGTGCCGTGAAAGATGATGCAGAAGTGGTGGCGGGGGCGGAAGTGGAAGTCCAGGCGTGGATGGGATGACGGCGGCGGACGCCTCCATCGCCTACAAAGTGGAAAGGCTCCGTTTTTGTTGCAAGGCAGATTCAAGCGAATGAACTCTGGTGCCCCCCCCCTTCCCCCCCTGGGGGTGGCTTGATTGCTGCGCTGGCCCTTCGCTTTGCCGCTCCAGGCCTGTGTGTAGCCTGTTCTTTGCCGCTTCGCACGCCCCCTTTCTCATTTGGACATTGGCCTCTTCCCCTCCCACCCCCCATCCCCCTCTTCCCCCCAGACCCACCCCACACACAGCCCAACACCTTTCCCCCCTCCCTCATCACAACACACATATACACACATCCCAACCCAGGCACACTTGGGCATCATCAGCCAGGATAGCAGAGAAAGCACCCAAAATCAGAACCGGGGGTTGGCCGATGAGGACCCCGTCAATGTGGTTCCCCTGCCTCGTCTTGAACATTACCCTCATTGTAGAGATGAGCTTGTGCGCAAGCGCCTGCTAAGAAGAGAAAAGCGTGTAGCTGATGGACATGCTCAGCTCAGGCAGACGCACTGTTCATGGGCACAAGAAAAGCGAGCGTCCTGACAGGTCATCAGGCCCTTAAGCCAACTTCCCAATAGAACAGCGAATGGTTTCTTGGGATTTGGCACCATTCTTTGCAAAAAGAGGAAAACGTGCCTCATGCCAAGGACAAGAATGTTCCATGGAACTCTTTACTCTGCAATGAAAGATCGTGCCAAGTATGCGAGTGGATGAGATGTTTTGGCTTTTCCTGAGGTATCTATGTGATACACCGGAGTATCACTTTCGGCTGTCGATTTCCTTCCCATTTGCGCAGTGAATGTCGTGATGAGATGGGCAGATTGTCGTCACAACACAATGAGAGAATTTCGGTCCTTGAATGGATCATCAAAATCAGAATAAGGTAACATGCTGAACTGTGCAGTTGACGTCACAGTTGGCCTGGCCCATCCATTTGCACAAAAGCAACACACCCATGGTGCCTTGCAGCTTGAAAGGCAGTGATTTGCTAATGGCAACAACTGAGAGTTTGTACAGGGGCTGCGATTGCCATGTGTGGGCAAATGTTGTGAAATCAACTGCCGCCATGCCAGTGTTGACTTGAACAGAGTTGTTCTGGAAGTTTCTTGGCTGTATATGCAGTTCATCATCCAAGTATGGTGGCTTCATCGCTGCAGGGCTAGAAATGAATTGTTATGGTGCTGCTGGATTGCATCGGCAGAATCTGAAGTGGTGCTCAAGGAATAGGGCGTGCACCTCGAATAGGCTGCCTTGCTGCACTACCATATGCCACTTTGTTCAGCTGCCGCTTCTGGCACTTGGAGGACCTCACCGACTCACTGGTGTGTATTTGCTGATTTGCACTGGCTAACAATAAATGTAGTTGTGTTGGTGACATCTCCAGGGAAGACGCATAGGAGACAAGCAGAAACCGCATCTCCCAGCACCAGAGGATACTATCACAGGCAAGAGCATCACCAACAGTTAAGATCCCTTTGGTTTCTTGCAGTAATATTAGTGGCTTTTGCATTCCAGGATGTTGCATCAATGCACTGTGCTGTCGTCAATCAACATATGTGGGCCATTGACACCAGAAGATGTTGTTTCTCCTTCCCGTGCTAGTAGATGTCCAGACTGATCCTCACAAGCTCCAGTTTATCCTCTGCATTGGGTAAACGCTATCCAACAATAGAGGGCATGCCTAAGTTCTGATGGTTCTCTGGTCAGATCTGTCACATGGACAAAACAAGGCTGGTGCAATTGCGGGCGATGATGGACATTCTTGACCTCCATAGTGTGAGTCCCACAATCCCCGTGAATATCATCAAAGTGGCCGTGCTGTGCGCTGAATGTGATTACTGGCCACCATGGAAAGACAACACCAATAACAAGGGAGATTAAATTGGAAAAGCGAAGGGCATCCAGCGGCCATCATTTCCGAATGTAATATGGAGCAAGAGATCAGAAGTTCCATCGTTGGATCGATTATTGTGGCTATGGCAGCTGCTCATAGCAAGGCAGCTCAAGGCATTGCAGGGCATTGTGCGCATCCACAATGGACTGGCCCAGAATGCCCACGCGAAACTCCACGTTATTCCAAGAAGCTCAAAAGATAGGCATGAGCACCAGGCTGGATCCAATATAGAATTCTATGTACCAAGCCAGCGTTTTGATTGCATTGTGTGTGCCAATCCGCAAGTAAATGGTAATGTGCATATGAAGGTTTGGATTTATTATTTGCTGCTATTATGGCCTAGCAGGCTAGCCCTGCGATGCAGAAGATCACTCTTAATTTTTCACTTTACCCAGCAGTTGTTGGCAACATGGCTCTCACAGTTAACAAATGCAGAAAGTTGTTGTTATTTGTGCTGAGGAAGAGCTGTTTTGTGCAAAGTATTGTGATCAGCACATAACCCCATCATCCGTTACTGTGCACAAAATATTGTGAACCTCACAGGTCGCTGCACAACAAATATATTGGTTGCAAATGTCCCACCAGTCCAATTTACTTTTTATCTAGAATTGTTGCGCATCTTGATTTGAGAACCATTCAATTGAGTGCGATCACCGGTCCTAGCACGACATCCTAAACTGCCCTCAGAGGAGCCCACACTGTCCAACAGGTTCAGCTGGACTGTTCTAGGGATGAGCAAATTGGCTGACTACAGCGATGCTATTGTGAGGGTTCGTCTGTCAGGCAGCCAACCGGTCACTACTGATCCTCTGGGGGTAGACGAGGCCCCAGATCCTAAGAAACAGAAGACTTGCAAAGCCTCACGAAGTGCAAAGAAGAAAGAGAAAGGGGCGGACAAGGTTGGAGGCCAGGGATCGGAGCATTCTGCAGACGTCCAAGATTTTGATGTCTCATCATTCTGCCTGGCCACCAAGTCGCAGTTTTTTCAGGCGATGTTGGACAGATGGTCTGGCAGCGAAGGATCCAAGAGAGTGCTGGAGATCCAGCTGGGAGCCGACGAGTTGCAGCACTTCAAGGTTCTGCTGGATTTTGTTCACTTCGAGGAGTTGGATACCGGCCTTACTGTGGAAGATCTTACCACACTACTGTCTTTTGCTGATCGATTCATGGTGGACAAGCTTGTGGACCCCTGTGTCACAAGCCTCATCTCATCAGACCGAAAATGGGAAGACGACATGAAACTGTTGGGAATGTTGGAGGGGTCAAGGATCAAGGCCAGGCCGTCGGTTGTGAGTCTGATCGAGGTGATTGGATGCGTTCTCCTGATGAAATTTCCAGACTTGGAGGAGGTTGGTCTGGACGACAATGCTTGTGATAAGTTTTGCCAGCTCCCCCTGCCAGCTGTGAAGTTGTTGTTGCGCCATGCTGGATTGAAAGTGGCTGCCGAGGAGACAGTGTTTTGGGTTGTGAATGAATGGATGGACAAAAACTTCCCAGAAGGCAACAGATCTGTTGCCACTTCTAGAAGTGGGGATGCTGCTTTGGAGTTGGGCGGATGCATCAAGTTTTGCTTGTTGTCACCCTACTATTTACAGGTGGTCAGCTCTGCACAGTGGATGAGGGACGTATGCACGTGGTGGGTAAAGGAGGCGCTTCATTTTCATACTTTGGCAGATTTTCCAGGCGATCTTCAACAGATCAAAGAGCGCATGGGCGACAGATGTGTGCCGAGGCCAGGCTCCTCCCGACGCAGTTTTCAGATCATTTTCAACGAAGATGCCATGTTCGTCAGAGATGCCCTCACTAGTAGTTGTGCACGTGAGCCATACATAGAATCTGTGGTCGCTTTCAGGGGTTACACGTGGTCACTGCAGGCTTTCAAAGATGGTGATGTTGCGATGTCAGTGTCAGTGTTTGTGAGAGGGCCAGCGATGGCACCATACTCCAGGATAGACTGCTTAGGGGTGGAGAGGCCGCTGCCATCAACTGACTGGCCTAAGTCTCTCGACTTGGATGTGGAAACGACAGCAGGCCATGTGCATTTTGAAGACAAAGTGCCGGTTGGTTGGGGAATTGACGATGCACCAACGTTTTCTGCTGATATCTTCAACTGCATGTTAGAAGCACAGGGTGAGCTCGTTGTTGGTGGACGCATAAAAATGATAGCCACGGTGATGTACTGACAAGTTGTATGTTGGCAGACAGGTGAATGACGTTGATACTGGGACGCCTCAATTTGGTGAAACAAAATATGGACAGCAAGCTGTAGCCTGTTGTTTAGGGGAATATGAGACAATGGCAGTTGTCAGCTGTGCCCAGAGAGTGTGGGCTGCTAGTAGCAGCAATCGAACAGCTCCAATTGAGCAGCACAATACCTGCTACCGGGCATGTTGTGTATTGTGTTGTTGAATTGGAGCTTGAAGTGATGTGTTTGATCTTACAGTAATGAAAGATAGGAGCCATTGTGACACTATCCGTTATGTAAACAGTATCTTTGTCTCTCAGCATTTCTTGTTTACTTTGCAAGATCGATGCAGCTATTCAGTCCAACACCATTTCCACATTGTTTCGTTGATTTTATGTTGTGGATCTTGATTCCAATTAATCTGCAACTGGTAATCGTCACCACACGAAGAAGACATTCGCAGCAGCATCAAATGCCATCCCTGTCCAGTTCCTCCCCGGCCTTCTGTTTCCCACACTGTTGCGTCCGCCTTATCCCAGTATCTTCCAACTTGCACCAAACATCCCCCAAGCCCTGGAGCGCCTCCTCGCACAACACAACTTGCAACTGCCATAAGCTTTCACGACTTACTTCATCATCATGCTGTCCATACTCTTTGTGAAACGCACCCATCATCTCTTTCATTGTGCGGAGCGTTGTCTTCAAACTGCTTTCAACGACTGGCCCGCATGGCTTCAAATCGAGGCCGCCGTTTGGTTGACGCCGTTGTGGCGTTCCAGACCATGGGGTTTCTGCCAGGTTGCTGCACACGCACTGGCCTAACTGACTGTTGGCCTTCGGCGATTGGCTCCGCACTGTTCTTGTCAAGGCCCAAGTATCGCTGTGATCTCCAATCCTTTCCCTGCGGTTCTCTTCGGAATTGGTTCACATCTCCAGCGTGCACCGTCCCACAAAAGTGTATGAGTATCCTAGCCACAGATTGCTTGACTTACCTCTACCGAATGGCGAGACGCGCTCATCTCGCCATGCTCCGTCAAAGAGCAATTGTCGTGGCTGTGGGCGCCGCGTTGGGGTGGATCAGGAGAGCTCCTCCTTACGCAATGGCCAGCCGTTCGCTGCCGGCGCTCTCCGCAAATGCACCACGGACTTGGCGGGGCAAGCGCCCATTCCATGCGAGGTGGGCCTAGTTGTTCTCTTGGGGATCGGCCCCGGTCGGCTGCTGGTGTCCAGTGGAGGCGCGGAGGCAGAACCGGTTGGGTTGGTACAAGAACAGGTTCATCATCATCATCATGATTTTTTACAGAACAAGGCAATGAGGTAGCCGTCAGCTTCCTATTTTGCCTGAGCAAAGCAGTGTCGGTGATTGGTTCATTGGAATCTAAGGAGAATACAAACTAAATGTACGAACTATGAAATTTCGCTGCCTAAAAGTGATAATCGATGGTAATACATCAAACGAAGTGTGTTTGCAAGCTGTCGAGCTGGAACTGTAGCAAAGAGTACTTTCGCATTGCGACATTGAAAAATACGAGAGTGGCTTCGACGGATGGTGTTGTAGGCTTGGCAGTGGAAGAGAAAATGGAGCTCGTCTTCAGGTGCCAAGTGGCATAACGGACACAATCGCCTTGAAAATTCTGGTGTAGAACAGGTTCACACGGCTTCTGCGGCCCCACACATTTGGGGTTCCCGCCCAGACATTACAACAGCCACATAGTGTACCTAAATGGGCCTACTGTACTTCGTTCACCACCCACTCCCACCCAAATACAAGCAAAGCACAATGAGAGCACCAAGAATGTCCAAGTGTGCACACCCAAGTGGGCACACAGCAACAATGCATCACTTCAGCACAACTCGAGAGATTGTGACAACAGCATCCCCGTCTACTGCATTTGAGGTTTTATTAGAGCTTTAGATATGGTGCGTCGAAATTGCTTCGGTCAGATTTCCTAATTCGCGCGTTTGACCCCTCTGGCAGCCGAAATGTAGCAAAGTGTAACCTTTGTCATGGTCTTGAACCAGCAGGTCGCAATGAGCATTGTCGTTCACTGCGGATGGTACGTTTCATTCCACTGAGCATCGGGTGCTTTTAAACATCCCACACACAGTACTGTCAACCTTTTCTTCGGCCTTCCCTATTTCTCCAGAGGAGGGTCGTTGCACTGTCTACGTCGCTGATCAGAACAGCTCTGAGTCTCTAAGTACTGGTACATGGATATAAAGATAATTGCACCCGTCAAACACAGCAGCTGTAGTGCTGTTGTGTTGGGACTATGCATTTACTTGCCACTGTGGCAGTATTTTAACAGCCCTATTTCCCCCTGGCCAAGGCACCCAATAATGATTGCAATCATTACAGCAAGAATCCTGAAAAATCAAAGTTGCGGATTTAAAAGAATTTGTCTCCAGTTTTGCAAAAGTTCAGGGTTTGGATACTTTTAACAATCACCGAGTACATATCATGATATAATTGATAATATGTATGTGAATACTAAATCTTGTAGCAGATTGACCGCGTTTTTGGTCGACAACCGTCAATGTTTGTGCAGGAAGTGGCGGATGTTGGGCTTCCATAGGGCATATCCACCAGGCGACAAATATATCAAATCAATGCCATGAAATATAGAATGAGGATAACCTACATTGTCATTAGACTTCAATGCTTGAACTGCAAGTGCATCTTTATACTATGCACTTAAAGTTTAGGCGTAATGTTCCGTCCTGAGCAGTCTATTATGCGTATATTCATAGGAACAATTCAAAACGACAAATAGCTTGTCAAAATCTGCCGCCATTGGCAGCATAAGCACACAATTCGACGATAGGCGAGGGCGAATATCCTTTTGTAGAAAGAAGGCCTTTCAAAATAAGTGAGAACATCTCGTGACCGTCCATAGGGCTACTTACATGGGCGCTGAAGCACATACATCACGAACGGAGTGACGCCCCAGCGCACGGCGATCCTGGCTCCGCTCAGTGTTCTTGACCCCCAAAATCGATCCCATTACAGCCCAAAATCAACAGCGAACACAAACCCAATCCCTTCTACTTACATCCATCCTATTAGCTTATATGCACTAATGTTTCTGCCTAGTCCCGATCTTGCTAGGGCCACCGCGTTCCCAGTCACTAGCACAAAAAATATTTTTGGCGACGCTATCCACGATGCCATTTGACACTACTTGATGCCATCACATCAACTTGGATGCCATCCCAATCGCTGCGATGGCCCAATTCTTTGAAAAACTCGTATCGCAGTTGGCATCACCAAAATCTTGTTATCTGCCAGTGGGTGCTCCAGTGTGTCTCTCTTGTTGACAAGCTCTCGGTGCATCCCGGACTTTGTGCCTGTGTTCGGGCCACACGAAGTGCTGGAGCACCGTGGCCTCGTCCGCCACGTCCAGGTTGTCTTCCATACCCTGACTAAGCTCTGTGCATTGTCCACGTCGGCAGCCCTGACATGCGCTATTCTCGTACCAAGGGATTCGTCCGTGGAGGCAAACAGCACCCCCTCCTCGTCAACCTTGGCCAGGAAGCCGCTCTTGACCGTCATCTCTAGGAAGGCCTGGCCCCGGCCCTGGGAGGCGCTGCAGGAGCTGATCTGCCATCTCCGCCCTCTCTGACCCACATACGGGACCAGACCTTTCCGTATTAATAGCGGTATGGAAATGTCTCAAAGTGTTTCAATTAATTGACATATTTCGACGACCTGCGGATCAAGCGATGAGATGTGCGATCATCATAGCCAGCGCCTCTCGCCGACAATTGAACAATAGTGAGGATCGGCCTGCCTGCGGTACATTATAAAAAAGCTGTGCATGTTGGATTTGCTCTTCAAGGGTGTTACCAGATCCTCACCCATATCCAGCATATGCAAGCACCTCACCCTGGATACGCCTGGATACGGAGGGACAATTCATGACCCATTTCCTGTGGGGGGCCCGCATGAAATGGTCATGTGATGGGAACGGAAATGATCACGTTCATTTCCGCCATGTTCTTGCATTCCTGTGTGGGCGCGCGAGCCACGGACATCCGATGGTTGGCTTGCGTGAAGACAGTAGCAATGTCCACCGGACAGCAGCGAGGGGCCATAGACCACCTGGACGCCGCTTCCTCGTTGATGGAGATTACGGAATGATCATAGGGGTTGTGGAGCGGTGTGCAAGCGTACCAGGGAAATCAACGGCAGGTGTTGGAGGTGAGCTGGGAGTGCCGTGGGGCTCCGGAAATTGTGGAAACAATAGGCAAATTTTCGAGAAGCGTGGTATGCTCACTGATATGGACGATGAGAAGATCCAGAAACGATACTGGCAGCGAATTTCAGGACTGCGCAGTCCCGAAAGTTCAATGTTTTCGGCTCACAGGTCAAAATTTGAATAAGCAACAAGATTTTAAGGTGCCTGAGTTTCGGGCTTTGTTAAGTCGTTTACATTTGGGCAAGGTCCGCGGGGAACAGGTGGGGAGTCTTCTGTGAGCGAAACGCGGTACGAGCTTTGGCGATGCTATATTTCTCGCAATGAAGGGGAGGGTCGACAATTTAAAGATTTAGTTGTGTAAAACGGATTGAGCAGACATAATTTTCTGAAGATGGCTTGTAAGGGACTGATCATCTCAGATTTACATGACAATCTGTTAGCCCGCATGCTCATAAATGGTCAAGAAAGACCTAAAGAAAATTAGTGATAGAGGAATTTTTCATTGCCTTGTTCTGTAAAAAATAATGGTGACGATGATGGTCAACATCATGGTCATGATCATGATGGGGAAATCTTCTCCCGACAATGAGTGTGTCGCCTAACTTTTGCCTGGGGTTGATGTTGGGATCTGCCGCTCGATACACTAGTAAAAAACAGGCCAGATGACACAGTGCTGACACGGTCTGCCCAAAATCCAACTGTGTAATTTCGGCAAATGTGGTCCCAAAAGTACACAGTTAGTACACACATTGACACAATTTCAACCGTGTACCCTCAAACAACTGTGTAGACTACACGG